AGGCTAAACCTAGAGGGGAACGAAAAACTTTTAGCTATGCATTACCTAGAGTATCCTTTACTGATATATAATCGTACAGTTAAGTTATAGAGGGTTTGGGGCATTCTCCCCCGGGAGAAGCAGAATTGAAATCTGCCCTTTTCTGCATGTTGGGTGTCACAATATGTCTGGAGTAACAGTGTATCATCTACACATAACAAGACACAACCCAAACACGACAAGCGCCCTGAAAACATCTTGTCTGCAAAAGGAAGAATTTTTTCGGCGATTTTTGTCTAATCAAATTTGACCTGCGCCTGACCATTTCACCGGATATTTTTATATAGAACTATAAGATTCGGGATTTCGTTTAATTTAAGGTAAAATAATGATTTTAATTGGTTATAAAGTGAGGTGTTAATAATATTGTGACATTGGAAACGGAATAATCAAATTATGCGGTAATGGTTACATGAGTCATTCACAAAACTAATTAATATTTCATTCTCATTAGGGCAATTTCCTGACGAATGGAAATTTGCCAATGTTATTCCTGTTTTTAAAAAAAGACGAACGGCATTTCAAGAATAATTATCGCCCCGTTTCTCTGTTGCCTAGTCTGTCCATGATCTGTGAAAAAATAATACTTGCTAGTCTGTATGATTTTTTAATGGACATTGGCTTTTTGCATCCATTTCAATCCGGTTTTTGCCCAGGCCATTCTACGACTTCTCAACTAACGTATATCATTCATCAGATTTACCAATGCTTGGAAAATGCTTTTAATAGTGTTTGGCATGAAGGGTTAATATCCAAATTAAAGTATATTTAGGAGTTAGTGGTCCCCTTGCTCACATGGCTACAAAGCTATCTCTCTGGACGCCAACAGCGAGTTGTTCTGGAGGTATACCCATTCCGAATGGCAACATGTAACTGCTGGTGTGCCTCAGGGTAGTGTTCTTAGTCCCTTGCTATTTTTAGTTTATATTAATGACATGGTCAACGACATTCAATCGGAGACTTTCCTATATGCAGACGATTCTTTGTTGTTAGATATAGTCGAGTCACCTGTTGAATCTGCTATTAAACTAAATGCTGACCTCGTCTCTCGCCCGTATTCTAAAATCTCACTCACACTCAATGAGTGGAGGTTCAATCTGAGCCTCTCTCGAGTGTCATTGCTGTTTTTGAATAGCTGGAGGGCTAGTGTCGTACATTACTGTGTGACTGCTCACCCTCTAGCTATTCAAAAACAGCATTGATCATGACACTCGAGAGAAGCTCAGATTGAACCTTCACTCATTGAGTGTGAGTGTGAGTGAGCTTTTAGAATACGGGCGTCTGTGGCCAACTGGGCGAATAATTGGGATGTGATAATGAATGCTTCCAAAACTCGGTCTATAGTATTTTCAGTTAAAAAAGAAAAAAACTCCCATCCTCCACTTATTCTTAATGATAAAATTATTCCAGACGTTACATTTCTCTGTCATTTGGGTACAATTGTACCAAATGATCTAACGTGGTTTATGCATATAAACACATTTTATGAAAAAACGTCACTGAAAAGAATAAATTTGTTGAAAGGCTTGAAGTTCAAACTGAAAAGATCTACATTGAACACCATGTATCTCACCTTAGTTAGACCGCTTGTGGAATACGTAGCGGCTTTCATTTGGGATGTTTGTTCAAATGAATCTGCTCATGCACTTGAGTGTATACAGTATGAGGCTGCTCGTTTAGTAACGGGAGCTATAAAGGGTACTAATAGACAATCCCTGCTAGATGAACTTTGTTGGGATTCCTTGAAAATTTCTATATTTTACAAAATGATGAACAATTTAGTACCTAATTATCTCTCATCCTTAATACCTTTCCCAGTCTCTAACAGAACTACTTATTCACTTCGCAACAGTGAAGATGTTTCGCTGATGTCTTGTTCAACATATCAAGGTTTCAAAAGTCATTTTTACCTTCTGCTATTTGTGCATGGAATTCTCTTCCTGTCGATATTAGAAACTCTCCTTCCTTGGCTCAAGATATGGTTCTATCCTGCACACAAGATTACGATTACACAAGTAATGTTTACAACATGAGCGGCCGTGTTGTATCGGATATACAAACTCGAGCCGAAGGCGAGAGTTTGTATATCCGATACAACACGGACGCGAATCGACTCATCTTATGAGTTCATTGGCGAAGTAATTTTAAAAATAAACGTTGTCTAAGCCGAGAAAATCAAAGTTAAAGTTTATGTAAATCAACATGAATCTGTATCACATATACAGATACGACACGCGCTTATGATTTTCTTAGTGTTTTCTTCATGAATTATTAATGATTTTTTAATAGTTCTTTGAATTACGATCTCTTTCGACATAATTGTATTTATTCTCCTCATCTGCCTGTGCGTGCGGCTACTACCGAGAGACATGTAAACATTACTACTATTACTTGTTGGATTGCTCGCGCTTCCAGGCCAATCGCGCTCAACTGCTTACTTCGGCTGCAGACTGTCTTAACTACCACTTGGCTACAGCTAATGATAATGTTAAACTTAATTACTTGCTACATGGATGTAACGAAGTTGACTTTCACTCAAATAGAACTCTATTCTTAGCAGTATAGAAGATTAATTCCAAACGTTTTTTAATTACTTAATAGTCCAGTGTTAGTCTTCCGTATACACCTTTATTCATTTTTTTCTCTCTCTTTCTTCCTCTTGTTTATTACTCCAACTTTTCATGAAAATTTTAAATTGACATAATATATATACCGCCTACTTGACACCAAATTCTTGTAAATAGAACAATTAAGAGCCCCTTGATGAGCTGAAAGCTCTTGGGCAATTGTAATTTCTATTATTAAAATATGTTTATTTAAAATATTGTGACTTAAATTTTTTGAAATAATCAAGCATACAGTTAGTTTGCTTGTGAAATGGAATATGTCTATTTCAAATATATTGGCCAAGAATTTCTCCCAGAAATGGGGCGAGGTGTTCGCGCTGACGACTTTCTCCTCGCCCCGGGAATTAATCGCATATTTCAAAAATTTGTCAAAAGTCCGGGGTCATGCTTAGATTTGACTAATGCATTATGGCCTTAATGGTAGAGGACGTCAAATCTGAGCCTCACTATTAACTGGCTGCTGGTCAAACAGGATAGCCTAGCTCGTTTCTATTAGTGAGACTGCTCAGTCAAGAGCTTTTCGTTTGTGTCTGGCAGGTTTAATAGCTGAGCATATCAGTGATATATCACAACTTAATGAATTAAATTGAAAGTTAAACTTGTAAGTGATTCATATAATGCGAGATGTATAAAATGATATATTAAACTGCTTCCTCTCTATAATCCCGGCATACTTAATCGATGAAACAGTGAATAATCGATGAGTATTGATATCAATCAACACCAATCGATATTTATTAATCGACTGATATTGGAAATCGATGAATAATCGATGGCTTGTTTTGCTGTGACCTTTCATCAATTGATTATCGATGTTTTATAGATTTTCACTGATGAAAAAATCCCTGAGCAGTAAATATGCATGTAATCAAACAGGTAACGCCGTAATTTAATTAATACATACTTTAATAAGCGTTTTGTCGATAGAAAACGATAAATATCGGCGAAAATCGATGAATATCTATAATAATCGACAAAATTGCCCATAACTTTTTGTGACTATCAATTGGTCATCGATTGACCAATGTAATTAACATCGATTACTATCGATTGATCAATTGGATTTCCGATGACTGGCTTTCATCGATTAAGGGTGCCATAAATAACGTCGAATCGACCTTATCTGGAGTGAGTGGGTCAATTAATAACGTCAATTCAACGTTATTGTGGCAACATGAATATACTGATATTAGAGCTATACTGATATTAAATGTATTGGTCATTTGGTCGGTTGAAATTAATAACCAGTAGCCCGCGTGCAGGCCCACGGGAACTGATAGTGGGCCTGCAAGCAAGGCCCGGTATTTTGTAAAACGCCCTTTTCATAACACGCCCCATTCGCGCGTCAATTGTCAAAAAAGAACCAATGACAGCACCCAGTTAACAAACAAACTCGCATTAAAACGTTGCGGGGTTTTCTCTGCTTATTCAGAACATAACAATCCATAGTGGAAAGTTGGGCACTTTAACGGGAGATCTCCTGCGGCAGGCAAAGGTCAAAAACTGCTGATGCGGCAAAATCTTGCGGCAGAAAAACTGTAAAATTGATAGTGCGGCAGAAATAGTTTAGAAAATACTTGCGGCACAATTTGGGTGACACGTCAGTGGTGTGTTGTATCAAGACATCTTAAGATGTATTCATTATTCGACAAAAAAGCTGTGTTGATTTTAATATCACGTCTTTTTTTAAAGAGTGAAGGCTTCAATGTTTACTGTT